ACTCACCTGGTGCTGGCCCTTTAAAGACTGAGAGCTGCCTGCAGTCTGGAGAGGCATTTGGTGGGGAACTGCTGCCCTGCTGCCCTGCTGCCCCTTCATTTGTGTTGTGGATGCTTTGTGTCTAGTCTGCAATTTTGTTATTTTGTCACAATAAATCACGTGTTAAACTTTTGAAGGTGTTTTGTTAATTTGATGGGTAAAAAGTTAAGGATAGTTGTTAGCCCCATAGAGATACATTTGGGTGGGGCGTAACTATATATATGTATATATATATATATATATATATATATAAATCACAGAAGTTCAGAATGAATCTCTGCTATGACACCACTGAGTGGAGATGTGGAAGAAATGCTTACTTCAGGACTTTGGAGTGAAGAGTCTGTGGCTGTGTCTCATTTCAGAGACCGCATCGGGCTAAGTGCACCTCTTATAACAAAAAATTCCAAAATTTGCCCCGTCTCACAATGATAAAGAATCCTTCAAAAAATTCTTGGATCCTGTTGGGTCTACAACCTGCAAAAAAATGAGACCAGACACAAAGAAGAGAAAGGCAATGGTATTAGATTTCTAACTCGCGAGGAGAACAGACAGAGATACGTTCAGTTACAATCTCCTACCACTTTGAAGAGTACCTTGCCATCTCCTCGCTTTTTATTATCCTTAGGGTGGTCCCTAGTTACAAAATGTTGCATACACTAAAGGATGGGGAAAACAATCTGCAGCAGCGTAAGCACTTTCATAACACATAATTATACTAGAGTAAGCATGTGCAGACTTCTTCTGTAGATGTCAAGATGACCGCTGACATTTCAGTCTCCTTTGTGGTGGTTAACTGTTCACAGCGGAGACAGGCACAGCTTGCACGATTCACAGCGGAGACAGGTACCCATCTGCTTACCTGCTTACTGGAAGAAGGCAAGCTCAGAGATGTAAGAAAAACACACGAGTGTCTGCTCGTGTGTTAAGAAGCAAAAGGTAAAAGCATTTAAAGCTACTGATAATTTCTATAAACTTTTATACACATTACTCTAACAATCTAGAAGGCGATCCGGATCACCACCAAAATTTAATGGGATCCTCCTGGGGCTGAGAAGCACCTTTGGTGAAAATTTCAGGTCAATCCGTCTGTTGCTAACAGACAAAGAACTTAAGAAACTTAGGACATTTGGGCTATTGCCTGCCCTGTCATGGTGCCTCCTCTTCTCCAGGGCAGCCAGTGCTGCTGGGCTGGATGGGACACCACAATAGAGACTCTGGTGTCTACTGGCAGTGGGACATCATGTGGGTGGTCTGGGTGTTTGGGCTGCATGTCTCCACTGTCCTCCACATTGTCCAAGTTTGCAGGGCTGGTTCGATGGCTGCCATGCCTGTTTTGAAGAGAGAGACAAGAGTAGGCTAACAGAGTCCAACAAGTTTTAAGTCTGATCTTCTGAGGTCTAAAAAGCTGATCAGTAACCAACAAACATTCTGTGCCACACAGAGGAGAAACTTTAGATGAATTGTACTTGCCGATTACAGCTAGACACGGTCGTGGTCTACCTCCTCCAGGGCTGACACCTCTGCGGACAATCTGTTCCGCCAGCGGGCACCACTGACTGCCTCCAACCTGTCCTCTACCTCATCCCCCGGCATACCGTCCTGCACATCTTCCTCTGGTGCCATAGTGTCACCGGCACCCAGGCAGATGTTATGCAGGACGGCACAAGCGGTGATGACCTGAATTTTAGAGGAATATTTATATGAACATAAAGTATGTAGACCTTTTAATAAATAAAAAAATAACAATATAGGTATAATAATAAATAATAAGTTGTTTTTATTTATTTAATTAATTTATTAATTAATATATATTCAAGTATAACAAAAATATTGTGTGCAGTGATGATATACCTGTGGCATGAAGGTGTGGTGGATCTCCAGCGCTTTTATAAAGATGGCACGGAAGCGGATCTTCATCATGCCAAAGGCACGCTCAATAACAAAGCGTGCCCCCACACCTAGCACCGGCAGCCTGTAGGGAGTGATGAGGGGGAGTGGGTGCTGGAGGCACGGGTACCCGCTGTCTGCCAGAATGAAATGCCCTGGAGGAGGGTAGATATTCTGCCTGTACAGTGGGCTGTGCCGGAGTACCCTTGCGTCATGCACAGACCCCGGCCAGCCCACGTAGGTGTCAATAAAGCTGCCCTGATGGTCACAGACTGCTTGCATGATGACTGATGCAAACAGTTTTCTGTTGATGTAGCAGTGACCATCAGGACCGCTTGGTGGCTTAATTCTGACATGGCAGCCGTCGATTGCACCGGCAGCTTTGAGAAAAGCGCGGTGCCTAGCCAGCCCTGCAAACCCCCGAGTTATGGCCGCCAGGTCGTCAGCGGACCTCGGGAGGTAGATGACTCTGTGGCGAATGGCCACTACCTCCTCCGTAACTCGGTGGACGATGCGGTGGACAGTGGAGCGGGGCATCCCAAACACCCTTGAGACCACCGGGTATGATGCCCCTCTGGCCAGCCAAAAAAGGAGAACCAAAGTCTCTATTGTGGCGCCCCATCCATGCCTCCGGTCCTGATGGAGGAGGTCCAGCAGCACTGCCAGGGACTCTCGGCTCAGCCTGAAGTCCTCCCTGGTGTCGTCGCCGGCGAAAAACTGTTGGAGGACTGGAACCCCCGTATGTAGCCTGCAGTTCAGGGGTCCGGTCTGCATACGTTAGGAACAAAGCAGGAGAAAGAACGGTCATGGCATGGATGTCGCTTGCAATGATTGTGAATTGTGCAGGTTAATGTCTCATGTACTAACAGCCAATGTTGGCTTTTCAGCTGATGTTAGTAAACGAAATCATATTTTTTGACACCTATGAAGATTTCCATGACATGTACTGTTGTGAATTAAAGGGGGAATTCACGTGATACACAGGGAGTGACAATGGCACAACTATCGTGTGGCTGATGAATGCCAGATAAAATAACAGGTTTACCTCTCCACTTTCGGCACGCCTTCTCAAGAAAAAGTACACAAGGCGCCTCCGTCGCTGCCTTGCTCGGCGGCGCAGTCTTCATTTAAGGCAAAAGCCATTTGCCACAATGCGATTTCCATTGTTGTCACCTGTGCTTGTTTACACCTGCACCTGCTGCAATCGGCGGCTTTTATTCAAGTCAGCCGTGACCCAGGCCTGCGGGCGGGGACATTTGGCGACCCAATCAGAGGGGTGAGATGGTCCGTCAGGCTCGCGTCACGACTGACTTGAAGAAAAGCCGCGGAGCGCAGCATTTATTTTTTAATTGTGCGACCTTGCACAGACACAAAATAGTAGATACATACAAGCACAGATCATTCCCACAAAATTCATCCAATGATTGTTTTGTATGAAGGACTATGAAGGCCATATTGAGAATGTTTTTTTAAGACTTCGAGATTTAAGTCGTGAATTTATGAGAATAAAGTCGTAACCTGTTATTTCAGAGGAGACTTGTTAAAATTAGGGCCATGAAGCATTTAAAGGAACTGTGCTTCAGTATAGGTTTCACAAACAAGGAGATACTTCATCCTTTGGCACATCAGCATCACATTGTCGTAAGTATAAAGACTTAAAAAAGAACATATGAGAAATACGTCATTTCCAAGGGGAAAAAAAACAGGTGTACTAGAAGGAAATCGCTGCTTTTGTGGAGGCAGAAATGAATATGCTGAGGATATATCTGTCAATGCAGCCGTAAATATCCGTGAATGACATTGAGCTTTAGTTTATGATATGAATCCATCTGCCATAATAAGGTGTTGGTGTCTCTGCAGGTGTAGGCTACCGCCGGTGTCAGAGACGTGGTGCTCATCGGAGCTCGACTCCCTCTGGATCACAAATGTTGATCATCATCAGTTTGATTGTTTCTTCAGAAACCACAAAATCTCTCTGAATGACCCGCTGATACATCCACAGATAACCCTGCAGATGACCAGCTTCAGTCATTTCCCCCTCCACAAAAGCAGCTTTATGACTTTATTTACTTTATGACTTTATTCTCCTAAATTTACAACTTTAATCTCTAAATCGTAAAAGAAAAAGAAAAACTCAATGTTGTCCTGATACTCTACTGTAGTTGTGTCAGCTCATGCTCTCATGCAGCCTGAGCTGACTGTCTGCTGTTTTTGGATTTCCTGTATTTTCTTCGAAGACGCGCTGTGCCTCCAAGCGAGTCTAGCCTCTCACCTGAAATGTGCAGCTGTGCAGCGGCACGCAAAGAATTCTGGGATACCGACGGCACGAAAGCGTGCATACATGCACGCTTGAAAAAGGGGCGGGGGTAGTGTGGTTTTGAGACCGAATTTGAAGCGCGCTTAGTATTTTGTGCCAAACGGGACACCGTTCATGCCGCGTGGTGACCTCACGTACGCGTCAGATGCGCCGTTCGATGGCTGCTGTGTCTGAAATGGGACACAGGAAGGGCACAGAACGGCGCAAAATGGCTAAAAACGGCTCAAAACGGCAGTGCACTCAGCTAAGCGCCGTTAAGTGCGCTTATCACGATGCGGTCTCTGAAATGAGACACAGCCACAGTCTCCTTTGTGGTGGTTAACTGTTCACAGCGGAGACAGGTACCCATCTGCTTACCTGCTTACTGGAAGAAGGCAAGCTCAGAGATGTAAGAAAAACACACATGAGTGTCTGCTCGTGTGTTAAGAAGCAAAAGGTAAAAGCATTTAAAGCTACTGATAATTTCTATAAACTTTTATACACATTACTCTAACAATCCAGAAGGTGATCCGGATCACCACCAAAATTTAATGGGATCCTCATGGGGCTGAGAAGCACCTTTGGTGAAAATTTCAGGTCAATCCGTCTGTAACTTTCTCCGTAAAGTTGCTAACAGACAAAGAAACAAACAAAGAAACAAACAAACAAACCAATGCTACCAAAAACATAACCTCCTTGGCAGAGTTAAAAATTGACAAAATGCTAACTCAAACAGGCACCACTGTATAAACAGAACTTAAGAAACTTAGGACATTTAGGCTATTGCCTGCCCTGTCATGGTGCCTCCTCTTCTCCAGGCTGAGCAGGAGTCTCTGGTAGTGCTGCTGGGCTGGATGGGACACCACAATAGAGACTCTGGCAGTGGGACATCATGTGGGTGGTCTGGGTGTTTGGGCTGCATGTCTCCACTGTCCTTCACATCGTCCGGGTTTGCAGGGCTGGTTCGACGGCTGCCATGCCTGTTTTATAGAGAGAGACAAGAGTAGGCTAACAGAGTCCAACAAGTTTTAAGTCTGATCTTCTGAGGTCTAAAAAGCTGATCAGTAACCAACAAACATTCTGTGCCACACAGAGGAGAAACTTTAGATGAATTGTACTTGCCGATTACAGGTAGACATGGTCATCGTCTACCTCCTCCAGGGCTGACACCTCTGCGGACAATCTGTTCCGCCAGCGGGCACCACTGACTGCCTCCAGCCTGTCCTCCACCTCATCCCCCGGCATGCCGTCCTGCACATCTTCCTCTGGTGCCATGGTGTCACCGGCACCCAGGCAGATATTATGCAGGACGGCACAAGCGGTGATGACCTGAATTTTAGAGGAATATTTATATGAACATAAAGTATGTAGACCTTTTTAATAAATAAAAAAATATAGCAATGTAAGTATAATAATATATTATAATTTTTCGTGTTTTTATTTATTTATTAATTAATTTATATATATTCAAGTATAACAAAAATATTGTGTGCAGTGATGACATACCTGTGGCACGAAGGTGTGGTGGATCTCCAGCGCTTTTATAAAGATGACATGGAAGCGGGTCTTCATCATGCCAAAGGCACGCTCAATTATAGAGCGTGCCCTGGCATGATGCCCGTTAAAGCCTCGGGCCGCCACACCTCGCACCGGCAGCCTGTAGGGAGTGATGAGGGGGATGGGTGCTGGAGGCACAGGTACCTGCTGTCTGCGAGAATGAAATGCCCTGGAGGAGGGTAGATATTCTGCCTGTACAGTGGGCTGTGCCGGAGTACCCTGGTGTCATGCACAGACCCCGGCCAGCCCACGTAGGTGTCGATAAAGCGGCCCTGATGGTCACAGACTGCTTGCATGATGATAGACGCAAACAGTTTCCTGTTGATGTAACAGTGACCATCAGGACCGCTTGGTGGCTTAATTCTGACATGGCAGCCGTCGATTGCACCGGCAGCTTTGAGAAAAGCACGGTGCCTAGCCAGCCCTGGCGGCTAGTTACGGCCGCCAGGTTGTCAGCGGACCTCGGGAGGTAGATGACCCTGTGGCGAATGGCCACTACCTCCTCCGTAACTTGGTGGACGATGTGGTGGACAGTGGCATCCCAAACACCCTTGAGACCACCCGGTATGATGCCCCACTGGCCAGCCAAAAAAGGAGAACCAGAGTCTCTATTGTGGCGCCCCATCCACTGCCTCCGCTCCTGATGGAGGAGGTCCAGCAGCACTGCCAGGGACTCTCTGCTCAGCCTGAAGTCCTCCCTGGTGCGAAAAACCGTTGGTGGACCGAAACCCCCATATGTAACCTGCAGTTCAGGGGTCCGGTCTGCGTTAGGAACAAAGCAGGAGAAAGAACGGTCATGGCATGGATGTCGCTTGCAATGATTGTGAATTGTGCAGCTTAATGTCTCATGTACTTACAGCCAATGTTGGCTTTTCAGCTGATGTTAGTAAACGAAATAATATTTTTTGACACCTATGAAGATTTCCATGACATGCACTGTTGTGAATTAAAGGGGGAATTCACGTGATACACAGGGAGTGACAATGGCACAACTGTTGTCTGGCTGATGAATGCCAGATTAAATAACAGGTTTACCTCTCCACTTTCGGCACGCATTCTCATGAAATAATATACAAGGCGCCTCCGTCGCCGCCTTACTCGGCGGCGCAGCGTCTCTTCCACTTTATGACTTTATTCTCTTAAATTTACAACTTTAATCTCTAAATCTTAAAAGAAAACAAACTCAATGTTGTCCTGATCATTTGCTGTAGTTTTGTCAGCTTTCTTATTTCTAATGTTTTTGATAGTTGAAGCAGAGCGGATAAGTTGTCTCTAAATCTGTAATGTTAGGTTTGCAGATTTTAGTGAGTTCAGAGATCATGCTCTCATACACCCTGGGCTGACTGTCTGCTGTTTTTGGATTTCTTGCATTTTCTTTGAAGACGTGCTGTGTCTCCAAGCGAGTCCAGCCTCTCACCTGAAATACACAGCTGTGCAGCCGCACGCAAAGCATTCTGGGATGGTATGGTATGGCTGCAATATTGTGCAGCACCACACAAGCTGCAATCACCCTGCAGGCCCTCTCTGGAGCCATCCTGAGCCCACGGAGACAGTTGAAGCGGGCCTTGATGACCCCAAAGGTCATCTCTATCCTGACCCTTGTTTTAGCCAGGGCCACATTAAACAAAGTTTGTGGACCGGCACCAGGGTCAGGATAGGGGGTCAGCAGGTAGGGCTGGAGGGGGGACCCTCTGTCTCCCAGCAGCACTCCACTGAAGAGCCCTGCAGATAAAGAGGAAGAGCATTGAGGAGCTGAAAATGTGGTTGACATCAAAGAACAAATTCAGTGTACAGTAGTTTTACCCTGCTCGAGTTTCCTGCACAGCTGTGACTCTCTGAAGATCCGGGAATCATGCACAGAACCTGGCCACTTTGCCTCAAGGCTAGTGACCATCATTTGATGGTCACATGTCATCTGCAGACACATTTGGTGTTAACAGGAGTTTTCGAATCTGCTTAAATACACTCAAAATGACTGATATGCCACATGAAACTGGAAATTATATTAGTATATTACAAATATTTGTGTATTGCTTAGACTTCACACTACCTGAGTATTGATGCTGTGGAAATGTTTTCTGTTTACATAGTCTGCCTCATTTGGTCCCAGACTGGCTGTAATGGGGATGTGAGTGCAGTCTATGGCCCCCATCACTCTGGGGAAGCCTGAGAAAAGAGAATTAGGTTTGAATATCCAAATACATACATGGAAAAGTATAATATGTGGACTTGCCATTTATGGACCTACCTGCCAGTGCATAAAACCCCTCTTTGATTGCATGCAGAGGCAGATGTCCGAGGAAAATGACAAACTTGTCCAGCAGATCAGTCAGTGCCCTCGCCACTTTGTGGATTGCCCACAGCATACATAAAAAGCGCCTGTGTGTTTGGAGGAAATGGATGAGTGGGGGAATAAAGGAGACTCATACAAATTCTTCTATAGTCCTTTCTTGCGAGCCGTGCTTTGTTAGTTGTAATTGGACAAGTAAATCTGTATGAATACTCACCGGTGGCAAAGAACCTCAGCGCGAGGCAAACGGTCTGCGGGACTGTGAGAGCCCGACTGCGGTGAGTGACGTTCGCCACGTTAGGCTCCAACAGCTCACTTATATAAAGCAGCCCCTCAAAAGAAAATCTGTAACGCTCGTACAGAACGTCATCTGGTAAATCAAAGGGGTTACATCTGTCACGAAAATAGCGCTCTCGTCGAAGCACTCCTCTCACAATCCGAGTAACGGCGTCCACGCAATCCGGCAAAAGTGGGCAAGCCATTTTCCAAGAGAACTGATTGGTCAGTGGGCGGTCTTTTATACCCGCCGAGCTCTTATCCTGAAACATAACCTGCTCCGGAGCAGGTTTGGCGTTCCACGTAAGTTACCGGGGTAACAGACCCGGATAAAAAGAGATCCACCTTTTGTAGTACGGAAAACCCAGAAGTTATCTCGCTAAGACCGAATCCAGCTTCATAGTACAGGCCTCTGAGGGCCCAACAGGGTCAACATTTAACCCAAACTGTCAGCCTCCTTTTCAAAATATATAACAAAATCAGAGATGATCATAAGCCACTTGGAAATTTCAAAAGTAAAAAAGATAAATTTATTGGCAATCTGAGATTTAAAAAAATCCAATAGGTTAGTTCGATATATCCGAACACGATAGTAAAATAATGGTTTTAAAGAGCAAATACATGAGGAGAAATTTAAAATCAAAAGTTTGAAAGGTCAAAATATGAGATCATTTTGAAATCAAGAGTTTAAAGTCAAAATATGACTTAAAGTTTTAAATTGGAATCTAAATGATTAAAATGACATCAATCTAAATACTGAGTTGAACAAAATCAAAGCACAAAATCAAAGTTTACATTATAATTCTGGAGGAAATCTGCAGACTTCGTACTGGTGGGCCAATAATAATACAAATATATGATATGATCTCGTGAGCCAGATATAATTGTTCCACGGGCCAGACTTGAATTTGACACCTGTGCACTGGTGGATACATCCTGTCTTACCTGTCATCCACTCAGGAGCCAAGTTTTCCATTCCCAGCTGCATTGATTTAAAGTGATCATTGATACGTCAGCATGATTTAAAACCTGCAGGCTCTTTGTGGCCACCACTTTGTTGGATTCATTTCATTGACTGATTCAGACAAATCTAAATGAATTCATTTTCAGTAGCCCAAATACATTCATGACTGAATCTGAACACTCATTCTCTAGACCTGGAGAGTGGGCTAAGTCTTTTAGTTTCACTCCCTTTGAAAGGGAATCAAATCAATTTATAGTTCAACATTGCTCATGGGAGCGGGGTTGTGTTAAGTCTTTTTCTTTGGCTCCTACGAAAGAAATAGATGCTGACTGTTGGTGAAAAAGAGACACTTTGTCTCATGCAAATACCCTTTAAAACTCTAATGTACATTTACACTGGCAACACTCTGGTAGACCAAGGATAAAACTGATGCTCTTGAGAAAAACTGCAACAGTAATCATTGTCTTTTGTTGTCTGAATGCTATCTCTCCACCCTGATAAATAACATGTATAGGATATGATCTCCTGCTTGTCAGGGTCTGTGGATATAGTTTTAAGTCTAGCCTCCTAACAATCCTGGAGCCACAGCCAGTTGGCCACTCCCACCACTCCGACCTGTATTTTCATTAGTTTTGAGTTTATCATGTTGTTGTTGCATGGCTAAAGTCATATTTGAGTAAACCAGACAAACAGAGAGACAGACGAAAAGACAGAATTGTATATAATTAATATAATGTGTGTAGGTAAACCAGCAGCTCAAGTCTCATCTCTACTCTTCAGGACTCACTGATACTTTAAACCTTTTTTAAAGAGTAAATGAAGGTTCATTATGATAAGCCTTCAATCATTTCTGAGCTGTAGTTTGCCAAGGACTCTGTGCTACATTTGTTTAATGATTGCTTCAGTGTTACAGTTAATCTCAGAGGGAACGAACTTGAGTTTTCATGCATTTCTAACAAACCCAGATTTGCTCCATGGCATTGGATTTAAACTGAAGGTTTGCAGTGCCCTCTGGTGGACAGTTAGTGTAAATGTGGGGAAAGGACCAGAATCTGTTACAGGTGGTGCCGTACATGGCTGTGACAGAGGCTCTCAAAAGCATATTAGCAGGATTATTTGTATGAAATGAGACTGTTTTTAGTATTATTATTGTATATATGTCAAGTCTTTATCAAGGAACTTCATTCTCCTTTTTTTTTTTTTTTTCCTCAGGAGACACCAGCACAGATTTGATAGAGCATAACTGTAACTATAACTGTATAGTTATATACATATATACATCACTGTAACTCTATTAATTGAAGTCAGATAACTGGTCCTTTGAGATTTATTTTTGCAAAAACAGCTTCAAAAGATTGGAAAATTGTGTTATTACCGAATTTGATGATTTACAAATCATTTAAAGCCTTTTTAGTGCAGAGACAACATATAGAATATTGAAACCAAAAAATGTTGTTGTCGACTGAAAATATTTAATTATACTTTTTTAACGTCAAAGCCAGGAGCAGTTGGGACAGTGATAACAAAACAGTGACAAAGTTTTGTGATGTTATGAAAAAAGAGAAAAGAAAAACAGCTGGAGGAATGTCTCCAACTTCTGAGGTTCATTTCCAACAGGCTAGTAACATGACTGAGTATATAAAGGACATTCAGAGAGGCTTAGTCTCTCAAGGAAATATGGGAAGAGGTTCACCACTCTGTAAGAGACTGAGTGAGCTAATAGTTCAACAGCATCAGAATAATGTTCCTGAGTGTCAGATGTGAAAGAATGAGTGGATTTCATCATCTAGAGCAGTGGTTCTCAAGTCCAGTCCTGGAGGCCCACTGTCCTGCATGTTTTGGATGTTTTCCTGCTCCAACACACCTGATTCAAATGATTAGCTCGTTATCAAGCTCTGTAATGGCTTAATAACGAGCTGATCATTTGAATCAGGTGTGTTGGAGCAGGGAAACATCCAAAACATGAAGGACAGTGGGCCTCGAGGACTGGACTTGAGAACCACTGATCTACAGAACATCACATCATTAAAAGATTGAGAGAATCTGGAGAAATCTCTGTACTAAAGGGACAAAGACCAAAACCAACAGGGTCTGATAAATCAAAGTTTGACATTCTTACTGGAAATCTTGAATCCTGCAACATCCAGTCTAAAGGGTGATAAAGACCACCCAGCTTGTTCTCAGCTCCCAGTTCAAATCCAGCATCCCTGATGGTATGGGGATCTTCCGAGTCCATGTCATGGGTAGCTTTTATATCTGTGAAGGCTCCATGAATGCTGAACAATATCTTCAGGTTTAGGAGCAACATCTGCTGACATCCAGACAAAGAGTTTTTCAGAGAGGACTTTCATATTTCAGCAAGACAATGACAAACCACATTCTGACAACAGGGATTACAAAAGCATGGCTCTGTAGTAGAAGAGTCCTGCTGAGAAACTGGACTGATTGTGGTAAAAAGAGTTGGCACACCTCAACAAAGATCACTCACATGCACAAAACATGTTAAGAGCTTTAAAGCTTTATCCACAGACCCCGACTAGCAGGAGATCATATCCCATACATGTGGAAGAGGAGTGATAGTCTCTTCTCTGAGTAAACCAAGATTACAATGTTACCCTGGTATTGATAGAAATACTACCACTCCCACCACTTCGACCTGTATTTTCATTAGTTTTGAGTTTATCATGTTGTTGTTGCATGGCTAAAGTCATATTTTAGTAAACCAGACAGACGGAGAGAGAGAGAGAGAAATAGACAGAATTGTATATAATTAATATAATGTGTGTAGGTAAACCAGCAGCTTAAGTCTCATCTCTACTTCTCAGGACTCACTGATACTTTAAACCTTTTTTAAAGAGTAAATGAAGGTTCATTATGATAAGCCTTCAATAATTTCTGAGCTGTAGTTTGCCAAGGACTCTGTGTTACATTTGTTTAATGATTGCTTCAGTGTTACAGTTCATCTCAGAGGGAACGAACTTGAGTTTTCATGCATTTCTAACAAACCCAGATTTGCTCCATGGCATTGGAATCAAACTGAAGGTTTGCAGTGCCCTCTGGTGGACAGTTAGTGTAAATGTGGGGAAAGGACCAGAATCTGTGACAGGTGGTGCCGTACATGGCTGTGACAGAGGCTCTCAAAAGCATATTAGCAGGATTATTTGTATGAAATGAGACCGTTTTTAGTATTATTATTGTATATATGTTAAGTCTTTATCAAGGAACTTCATTCTCCTTTTTTTTTCTTTTCCTCAGGAGACACCAGCACAGATTTGATAGAGCTTTTATATCTGTGAAGGCTCCATGAATGCTGAACAATATCTACAGGTTTAGGAGCAACATCTGCTGACATCCAGACAAAGAGTTTTTCAGAGAGGACCTTCATATTTCAGCAAGACAATGACAAACCACACTCTGACAACAGGGATTACAAAAGCATGGCTCTGTAGTAGAAGAGTCCGGCTGAGAAACTGGGCTGATTGTGGTAAAAAGAGTTGGCACACCTCAACAAAGATCACTCACATGCACAGTTAGGCTCAGAAACACTGTTCTGGCTGGTTTGATGCACAGTTTGTGAGCTTGGGAGAAATTGAAAATGAGACTTCCTGTTTTACGGTCCCATCTAGGAGGACTGCAGGGGTGTGCTTTCCGTAAAATGTCCGGGATTAATGCTGATTTCTTCTGGTTGGATGATTGTGAAAAATTTCAGTGTTTCAGAGGAGGAACCTTACTTGTAGCAGGTCTGCAAAGCATGAAAGGGAAAACGCTGGATGCAATGTTTAAGGTCTAGATGTTTCAGGAACATGCACTTTCAAACTGGCTCTGTAATTGCAGCTGTATCTTTGGAATCCTGTAAACCCATAAGGGTTGGACACTATGTGTGCCTGACACGCATATAAATAAAATCAACTAATCAATCAATTAATCTTGATGCAAAAATATAACAAAGGAGAGCCAGAACTGCAAAACAACTCAGATTCTTAGGTCATGTTCACACCTAAAGGTCTGTTTCCTGATTTGAATCCAAGGCAAGACGATACATTTGTTTTGATTGTTTAACTGGTCCGGTTTGCGTTCTCAAAGGACAAACTCTATCGCACCAGAAAGCAGAACCAGAAGTCACGTGACCGCGAATATCGTTTGGTTATTGGTCATTAGTTTATGCGGGAATACAAACCCTGCTCTACTGACTTCGCCTGTCATGGAGAATCATAGGCTGATTTTGCTTTTGCTACTCATCTGGAGCGCGTATCAAAAGACGCTAGTTGATCGCATGTATGAACAACTCGTTAGCTAGCGAGCGAGAACTGTGGCATTAATGAGTAGACGTGCTGCAAACAACAGACGGATAAAGATGAAACGGCGACAGGCATTAATGAGAGCCAACCATGATGTGTTTTCTCTCTGGTGTCAATTGGGAAAATGACGTGTGTGGTGCGCTTCCTGTGATTGGTGTGGATGACGTTCACACCAGAAATGAACCGCTCCAGAGTTCACTTGATAGCGGTCCAAGATCCCCTCTTCAGGCGGACCAGAGTTCGTTTATTTGGTCCGCACCAGAGTTTGAGATCAGCGTTCACACCGACCCAAACGAACCACACCAAGGGGGTAAACACACCAGGGTTCAGTTCAACTGGACTAAACGAGGGTGGTGTGAACGCACCCTTAATTTCATTACTCGATATCCTGCTATTGGCTTATTTATGATTAAACTGATCCTTTAAATGGATTGGTAATCCATCAACATTAAACATCGCTTGTATCTTTATCTCCTAAAACTTTTTCAGGCACACAAATTGGGAGAACATTTTGTCATATTTCTCATGAGCAGAGGAAAATCATTATGATCAAACATTTTGCAAATTTAGCTTGATGATAAATACTGTAAACAATGTGACCTTCCTCTCTGATTGTACAGTTCCTGCCCCCCCCAAAAAAAAACTCTTAACCTTGAATCTGAAGGGATACTCCACCATGAAAACCAAGTCTGAGTCTCTGGAGAAGAGTTACTAGTTAATTTTATTATGGGTTCATCAATAGTTATGGACATATAATCATCTCTTTACAATACAACAGAAGGTCAGAAGAGCATGACAGACCACTTCAACTGAATCTCATAGTTTAAAAAATTCAATAAATAATACCATAAATAAACCAAGTACATGTTTTCAAATAAGATATAGGTTCATAAGTACTCATATTGTGTCTGCATGCGTCATGAAACACCCTCAACCATTGTCTGTACAAATACAAGATCTGTTTGGAGTATGAGTGGAGGGTTCATATACAGAATGAGTCTATGAGGCTACTAGACCGTACCAAGGAAAGGCCTGACATAGAAAACGAGGGACTCAGGAAGCACTTTAAAGAGACCTCACTCACACACTGCATCTTCACCCGTGACAATATATACAAATGGTTTGCACACACACACACACACACACACACACACACGCACACAGTTTGAGTCACAGACTACCATGTCTGGGAGACCCTGATTTTAGAGACCACATGTCCTTGCATCACTTCCTGAGGAAATAAAAAAGTCAGCTCATGAAGACCATTGGCTGAGTCAGCACAGGTTATCAGCAGGATCACGTGAGGCCATCCTCTATGGAGGAGACCAGGGCTGCCAGTTTGTAAAATCTGTCATCAAGCATACTGAAATTTCATTCCCTGTTAGCCTGTGCGCTCTGTGACCAAATGTAAATCTGATTGAAGATAATTGATACAAGACTTTCTTTTCATTTGAAAATATATAATCAGGGCTGAATGAAAACCCTGAAGAGATTATCATATACCCTCAGCTGTCACTGTCTTTTTTGTTGACTCACACCGGATGCTTATTAAAGTATTTACATGAGAGACATTCCTATAAAGTCATTGTACAGATGCAGTTAGATGCAAAGTCTGGCTACAGAAATGATGCAAATGTGCGATGCAAACTTAGCGAGTTGAATGCACAAACAAGGCAAATTTATGACCGTTTCAACCTACTGCTCACCAAAACGAAAAACCAGAACTCAAGCAAATCATTAACGGTACGAGGTATGTCAACAACAGACTGGCGGAGGATCTTACATGGAGGACATACTGAGTTTTATGTGTTGAGACAGAAACTAAATGGAGCTTTCTTGGAAGAAAGTCAGTAAGGTGGTCGGGTTTTCTGTGAAGTTTTTAAAACGTAACAAATCTGCATGAGGTTGAAAGGGTTTGAAGGAAACCCTGATGTAAATGTATGTTTTGGCACTTCAGTAAGATGAGATACTTAGATGGAGCAAGTTATTTAAGTGAATTAAGTAAATCAACAGAAATATTCAGGCCTTAAAATATATGCAAATTAAGCAATTAAATCTGGGAATGAATGTTTGTGGAAAAATGAGTGGAGATTTTATACCATTAATTTACAGGAATAATAAAATAACTTTACAAAGATAGAAAGGTTGTGCAAATAAGTTTGGATTCTGGACCATGGGGGGTGGGGAATTCATCAGTTCAAAGCCCCGGTCTTACAGCCTTCAACTATAATTCAGACTTCTGTCTCATAAAAATAGATCATCATCTCAAAAGAGTTTGACTTGAAACATGTAATTTTTGAAACTTTATTTTTGTCAATTTACAACTTCAACCTATATGTCTTAAAACTTGTAAATTTGCAACTGATATTTATGATTTTATTCAACTTTATTCATGTAAATGTCAAGTGTACCTGGATAAAAACATATCTAAGATGAGCCATGGATGAAAAAAAACAAAAGAAAACAAGAAGCAATATAAAGTTCTACTACATGTTTCTGGATTTTGCAGAGTGGATGCTAATGTGCTGTTGGGTGATTTTAAGCCTCAGTTCTCTCTGTGAGTCAGAAGTCTCCTCTATTGTCAGAAAACAGCTCCCTCATCTGGCCCGTTTTTGGATGTGTACATAGTGTCTAAAGGTTTTATTGCTGAGGATCTTCATGTAAAAATGAAATGAAGTCAAACTTTTCTGCACGGCGTTGCGTCTGTTACGCTCACAGCGGTTCAAACCATCAAAAGTGACTGTAAAGACAATGTCAGTCTTTTAAAGGTGGGGTAGGCAGCAATCTGTTAAAGAAGCATCTTTTTTTGTGGTGTATATACAAAAAAGTTTTTAATATCAGTAAATAGCTATTAGTCATTGATGACATTTGGTAATATAATGATATCGCTGTGTTTGGTTATGTCTGTGAAGTCAACATTTTAAAACTTCAGAGCGCTCCGCTCTTTCTGACTGTAAACAAAGCCATTCCCCACCTCCCCCAACCTGATAGGGGGGGAGCAGTGTCCACCTCATTCAGGAGCCGAAAAAAGTTAGTGTGCTACAATATCGGACAGTAGAAACCAACCAGAAAGTACGGAAAATTGTCTGAATCCTCCTTTGGCCACGACTGCCAACACAAGCAAAAAAACAAACTAAACACCGGAGACTCTGGTGGAATAACAGGCGCTCAAAAAGGAGGTAGACCACCCGGACAAGAGCTAAGAAGCCAGGTTAACAATGATGGGGGACGCTTCATGATCTTACGGACCCTGTAACCCTTCTGCTGGACAGTTAAACTGCTTTAACAAAGTAAGCCAAGTGTCTGTAACAGAAGTGTTTCTTGTCAATCGGGACCTGTTGCGAGTTGTAGCAACGCTAAACTGTTTCCCTCGGGTCGAGGACTATGTCACTTTATCCTAGTTGTAGAAGTCCTGCAAACATTGTGTTTGCTGGTAGTCTGTTGTTTTTGTTTTTTACTTTCACGTTTACTGGGCTCCATTTGTAATTATCTGAAGTATTTATCTGCATTATATCTGAATTTAATTAACGATAGGAGCGAGCAGGAGCGTCTGTTTGTGGGCGGGGCTTGCTGGAGCAGAAAGGAAGGGGAGAGGAGGAGCTTAGGGGAAAACTGGTTGGGAGGAGTAGTGTTTATATTTAAGATTTCTCCCAAAAACTGGCACTTCCTCAGATCCTGCCTACCCCACCTTTAAGTGTTTTTTTTTTTCAGGTTGTGAAAAGGTGTGTTTGACTCCTAACTACTTCAATACCCCCCACAGGAGCTTCAAATGTCAAAAAGTCATCAACTAATACACATTAGAGATATTTTGAAAAAGTGCTGTTTGTAAAGGATAAAAAATCACAACATAGACAACTTATGTCCTGTTTAAAGTTAAATTTCTTTTTTACTTCTTTTTGTCTGTACTCAGTTTCAGTCTTTTCCTTTGAAAGGATTTTAGATTTGGTCACAGAACACATGAAAACTAGCAGAGAAGGAAGGTTCAGTGTATGAAGGATATCAGTTTTCCTGTATGCAGCCCTGATCTTTCATCCATCCTGACGTTTGTCTGACACTGTTTGGATTTGACAGCCTCAAAGTCTGGCTCGCCTCTGGTAGCTGTTTGGTATCCCTAACCAGGAAGCCAGGGGATCTAAATGCAAGTCACAAACTCTGAAGGATTTGATCAAACATGAACTATAGTCCACGTTCTCCTGTTTTAGCCTCAGTCATCTAAAAACCTGCTCTGCTGTTGCTGCATGCCCTCCCGTTCCTCCCAAACACACAGACAGAAAGCTTGCTACTGGAACACTAAGAAATGCTTCAGTAAATGGAGAAAGAAAACTCTGTATGGCCCTTTCCTCTGAATAAAAAGGGTTTTCACATTAAATATGGCTCACTGTCATTGTCACTGTCATCATTATATGAACACAGAGGTAATCAGCTTCTGTACAAAATTACACCTCCCCCAAACACACTCACACACTCACACACACACCCAACAACTAGTCTTTACAAAAGAGGAAAATAAATAGAGAACACTTTCATTGACAGCACATCATCATCATCATCATCATCATCATCATCATCATCACAGAATAGTCTGTAGCGTCCTGCGACCTCCCTTTGATCAGCAGATATAGTTTCTCTGTAGAAATAAATGGCAGTTATAGAAGTCGTCACGATAAATGTTAATGGCATAAGTTGTAGTAAGAGTATAAATGGCAACATCACATGTAAACAACATGAAGTATTTCTAAGAAAATCATCCTTGCCCCAAAGATGTTTTCTTTTTTTCAGCAGGTCTGGTCCAGCTTTGGGTTCCAGCTGTGGATTATATGATCCAGGTTTTGTTTGAACACCTTCTTTTGGCACTTAAGTGCTCCGCTCAGTCTCACA